CTAAACCCTAAACCCCTAATGGCAGGTCATTGACTTCGACTTTGCAACTCCCGGCTCCTCGGGCTCCTCAGCTAAAAGCTGCCGGATGCTCTGTGTGAAGTTCAACGAGGCGGAGGGGGGGGGGAACCTAAATGGGTGGTTGTCAGAATTATGGTTTCAGGTTTAGGGTTTAGGGTCTGGTAGTAGGGAATAAGGGAATGTGAGCCATAGTCTAAACTCCTTAAAGGGGGGTTATATAGGGGATTATATAGGGGACTACTATAGGGCTTATTAAGGGGGATACTAGGAGTTTGTACTAGAGCTCAAATGTAATATAGTAGTTTCCATTTTCTTTTCTACTATCCCAAAAAACCCTGTATTATACTCCAAGATTATACACCATTATAACCCCTATTCCTTTTTTATACACTTCTATAATCCCATTTATAGTAGTTTCGATGTTCTTTGCCATTATCCATACAACCCTATATTCTACAATTATAGTACTGCCATTAGCATAGTCCGCAAGGTGGAGACGGATTCTGTTCTCAATTGGGCTCGTAGTGTTTCATCAGGACAACATTTTGTATTCGGATCAGCCATTCAACCATGAAAAGCACTCATCAGATGCTGCTTCGGCCACTTCCGTGCCTTTGCGGTGGGGAGACATCATGTCTGGGCGTAGGGCGCGGCAGGATGGGCCCAAGATTTCAGGCAGAAGAGGTGTGTTGGGGGAAAGCCAGGTGCTGGGTTTGGGGATCGGTTTTCGTCCGCAAGGAGAGGTTTTGAATTGCAAGCTCTACTTTTGTTTTTTTTTTCGGGGCCATGTTGGATTGCTAGTATCTTTTTGCTCGGTTGGCCGCACAGGACCTCAACTCCGAGGTGCCACTCATTGCCCCGAAGGCCTTGAATTACCGGGAGGCACATCTCCTGAGCCGTTTCTTATGCTCGAGCTGATGCCTGCTTCTGAAACTAGCCATCGCAGCCTCGCGATTACTGTATGATCTGACCTCTCGCCTCCCGCAGTGATGTGCATATCCGCTGAGCATCTCTGCCCATCAGGAGAGGACCTTGTCAAGATCCGATCAGGCTCATATGTCTTTGAAGCTGGCGGGCAAGCACCTTGGATTCTGGCACATTGGGATGCAGCAACCCAAGGATTGAATTTGAGTCGAGCATTTTTGCCTTCCGTTGCTGGATGGGCTGCCATCAGATGCTATCCAAGGCAGGAAATGCTTGCTCGACGCAATCTGAGAGCAATGTCGCAGAATCATCGAGACTTGTCTTTCAAAATTAGTACTGCTGCTCAACTGACGTGCTGCAGAGCTTCGGGCTTCGCGGCATGCGGGAGAGGTGTTGGTTGTTGGCAGGGGATGTGTCTTGCGGGTCCTGCCAGCACTTTTTCCGTGTAGCGCAAGCATGTAGGCTCTTGTAAGTGTTTTGGTAGATGCAACTCTGGCATGCTCACATGCACGTTAGTCATATGCTGGAGCTGAGGCGCGATTATGAGACACTGTGAGGAATGCTTTGAGTTTATGGGCGCGCTCTGGTCGTTCAACTGGGCCTGCCACTGCAAGAAGGTGGCTATTCGCTTGTAGACTGGCCCAGCGCACACAGGAGGGGTGAGGCAAACAAAGCAGGGAAGAATGTTCCGCCAATTTTGGCATCTAACCTTTTCGGGCGTAGCACGGTGTTTGCTCTAGCTTCCTATATTCATGGAATCAGCAACGGATAAATTACTGAGAGTTGTGCAGAAAGAAAAAGATGCTTCCCCTGGCCCTGTGTTTGGGCTTCGACGGAGCCGCCGATGCCCCGGTGGAGGAAAGGGGTCCTCGACTTGGAAGCGCGCTGGCGGGCCTGGCAGTGTCTGCTGCTGAAGGGACCTTACTTGATTGGGCTTCACCAGTCTGCAGGTGCTTATGGGAGTATATCAGAGAGACATCAGGTATTCCTGAGCACAGACTCTTGCCTACTCTGCATGCTTGCCTTGCGCAGCACACATGTAAGGCAAGCACATCGAAAGCATGCTTGCTGCCTTGCGAGCCAACCTTTTTGTTCATCATCGTTATGGGAATCATGAATAAGCGTCTGGGATCATGTCGCTTCGCTCGATTGCTTAGGGGGGGCCCTTCATAGCGGGGGAGGCAGGGTGGATTTGTGCTTGTTGCTGAAGGCTTGAGGCTCTACATGGGTTGGAAGAGTCGCAGCTTAAGTTTCTTGCTGTGCTGTGCTGGGGTTGGCTCCAAGTTCGGTGCTGTCGGGACAGCATCATGCAGATTATGCTACAATCCGGTAAGATGCTGAAGCGGGGGTGAACATTAGCAATCCGGGTAGAGCTCACGCCTACTCGGGTGCTGGGCCCTCCTGTTTTCCTCTGCGATTTTGCGCTTCCAGGATGCCGCCAACCATCAACACAAGCAGGAGAACCTTATATTCGGGTCTATATTTAAGAGGCATTGAGGTAATGTTCGGTTTGGTTCCTGCTGATGTGAAGACCTTGTCGTGGGATTTGGGCAAAAGGCTTCCACATTACACATTACGGCGGCGCTGGAAGTGATGCATTGCAAACTTGGCAAGTGGCTGAGTAGTCATCTCGACATCTCCTGCATACCTGATTCAATCTGGTGTTTCGGCGTAGGATCCTTCAAAAGCCGGCAACTGGACAGGCCAATTAGATGGGTGACGAGTGTTTCTGTCAGGGGTCCAATGGCTTCAACACCAGGCTGAGCTAAATTGCGACCTGAGCGGCCCTATGTGCTGTCATTGTGCTCAACTTCGGGACCTGAGCGGCCGATGCAGCAAACAGATGCGTGCTTTGACGGATGCGTGTGTGCGCAATTCGCACAGCCGCCAAGGAAAAACTCGGATAGACCCATAGCGTCACATGCAGCATTGTGCAGCAGTTGTTCCTCTACGCATGTTCTGTTGGCACGCAAGGGCCGAGCAGTAGCGTGGAATGCGCTGCTCAGCAGCATGCCCTGCCGCCCATCTCCTTAGACAGCGGACATGAAGGCCTCCGGGTTGAGCGGAGTCAAGGCCTCTCTTGTCCACTTAACCGTCTTCCAGCAGCAGGAGTGGGGCGGGGATGTGTGAGGTTTTAAAGTGAGGCATGCCCAAATGGACGGAGGTCTTCTCCATAAAGTGCTTGGGTCAGAGTCTTTAGCGCTCAACAACGTGGATGCGCCTGTTGCACCTGCCAACTCCTAAAGCCCCTTAACTCAACCAAAAACTCCAGCCTTAGACCATTGTTGCCTGACATCCCTCACCTGCCCGCCACCGCCCCCAACTACTCGTAGATGCCCGAACGCGGATCCAGAATCCTGACCAAACACTCTTATCGGTGCTGTAAATCTCTGAACCCGGCCTGCGTACTTTTGCACCCCGAAGCCGAGGTAGCTTGTTACCCTCCTAAGTTCTGCTCGTCAGATATTTAATTGGACACGCGTGGCGTGTAACTTGGCATTGTCGCCGTCGTGCTGGAGCCTTTGCGCTAAACACCCGGCTTTGAACTTCCAGAGGCTCTTGCCCAAATCTATCGCCCTAAATCTCCGACCTCCCACGATTGGTACACATCAGCTAACCTTCTACAGAATTTACATGTTACGGTTCTTTTGCATCACAGCATTTGTGCACATGCACCCTCCTGAATCATGGGCATGCCAATTGACGCGAGCCTTGCATGCGTCATAAGGCAGTTTGCAAAGGCACAGGACGTGCCGATGGTATTGTACTCAGCCCGAGCTGCTTGTGGGAGCACATGCTATGTCAGAGCAGGGGTGAGGTGATTTGCAAGACATCAGGATGCAGCTTTGGGCAGAAAGTTCCGGCCGGGCACGCGCGGTGCCCACAATTCTATCATTTCCACGAGGAGGCTCACAATGATTGGGCCTGTGATCCAAATGCTGAAGCCCGTGACATGTGACGGGCTGTCGGAGATGCCTAGTCGGAGGACGCGCAGGCTCGTCAGGATATCTTCATCGTAATGCAGTAGGCAACGCAACTGCTGTGTGAACCTGCGGGCATACTGCGCATGTTTCTCTATGTAAGTTTCTGAAGCGTCTCGAGACGCAATCCCTGTTCAGAGTCTTTGAAGCTGGCAGGCCTGCGTACATAATTCCATACATGTTGAATGAATGAATCTGGCAAACAGAGTAGTGAAACGTGTTCCATGGTTCCGAGCCACTGCAGGCCTGGACAGCCCACCTAGAGTGCTAGACGGTGCGCAGGAAGGTGTGCAGTCATGCAGGTGGCAAGAAACAAAAGTGCAGTCGAGTCATCAGAGCTGAAGCATTTCGCTTTTTTCATCTGCGCAGCCATGGGATGTAGGTGCCAGTGATTGAGGTTGTGATGCTGAGAGAGTATGAAACTACCAGATGACATGTCTTTTGTAGAAGCTTGAGATAGGAAGAAACAATCAACTTCCGAGGTGGTCGCCCTACAACTTGCAGCTCTTGAGCGAGGTGCGCTTCCTGTTGCCCTTGGCTTACTATGGAAGGCACTTAGCTACGAGGAGGTTTTGCAGAAAGGTGACTCTAAGAAAAGGTGATGATCCATCGCAGGCGTTTCATAAGTCCTCTCCACCTTAGTTGAACAGCATAGTTGTCCATTGTCCTTGGACGAAACAGTACTGGCTTAGATGACTTGTTCGCAATGCGCCTTCTATGTCAGTCACCATGCGGGAAGCAGAATTCAATCTGCCTCCGTGCTAGGTGGGCTTCACGCCGAGATGCCCAACAAGCTACGTAGATTGCAGAACAACACAACGGCTTGGCTCGCAGAAAACAAAATAGGAGATGAATAAATATAGAATATATATTGATATATATATAATTACAAATTTCAAATCTACAAAATCTCATTTCGTTCCAATCACGAATAATCAACAAAAGATTATCATTTTTCCTTCATAATATCGACCATAATTATATTTTATATGATGAATTATCCGAGATCAAGATTTATAGATTTCTTTCTTACGAATTTAAAAATATTGGTCTCAATCTCGGAGCTTCTAGGAAGATTTTTCTTAGAATCGTTGATTTTGAATATTCCAAATTAATATGATTTATAGATATATATTATCTAGATCGAGAATAGGAATTATAGAATTGATTTAATTTTATTTTTGATTAGATTTAGAAAATACATATATGAGCTTATAGAATATTCTTCTTTTAATATTTCGATAGAATTTGGAGATATATAATTTATTGATAGATTAATTTCTATGATTTTCGATTTTTCGAAATAAATTATATGATTTGGATAATAATTAGATCTGATATGAATATTATAAACGAAAATATTTAGACCTCTCTCTCCCCTGTAATCCGCCGACCCTTTGGAAAAACTATAAATATAAATAGAAAAATATTTTTTTATGATCGGGGATATTTCTCTATTTCGGATTGAAATGTATTCTATCTATATAGGTTCTCTATTTAACTTCTTTAAGATGAATATGCTTCGAATGAGGAATTCTTAATTTTATATCTGTATTTGGTCTATTCAGATTATATATTGAATCTATTTAAATATAATATTAGAATTCTGGACTCTTATATTTCTGATTTCTACTTAGATTCTGGCTAATATAATTTTTATATGAAATAGAATATAGAAATATAGGAACCACGAAAATACTAAAATATAATATTAAAAGAATAATTTTCTTTAGAATTATAGCGATTCTTGAATAATTTTCTTTTGATTTTCTTAGGAAAAATTATTTCATTTGGAAAAAATCTATTCTTTTTCCTAAGAAAAATATTTTTGGAAAATTTGAGTTTTCAAAATTAATTTTTTCCTGGGAAAAATTGGTTCTTGTAATATGTGGCATTGAGATTTTCCAGGCAAAATAATCTTTTCCTAAGAAAAATTGGATTGGAATAAATTTCTTTCGAAAATAATTTTTCCTAGGG